CGTGTAACAGTTTATTGAAAAAAAGACCCCAAAAATCTCATACTATTAGTGCCCGTTAGTAACACAGACTATACTGAAATAATCTAATAAAAGAAAGTTGGTATATTTTGTATTACAAATTTGTACGTACTTAATATTGCACAAACAACGTTACGGAGAAATCAAGCATTACCTTTAGATTACAAGTGCTCTATAAAATATTCCTATTATATAAATTATAATATGGCAACAGAGTTTTTAAAAGAATTGTCTCGTGACCTTATCGATCTTTTAAAGTGTAGTGATGATTATAATGTCATAATTAAGGTCGGTAAAGCTCCCGAAAATCATTCATTCAAAGCTCATTCTGCTATTTTGGGAAAACGCTGTCCTTATTTTCATGAAGAATTGCCCAAAGTAAACTTCGATCAAAACCATATTAAAGAAATAGAATTACCTGATATTAACAAAGATAATTTTGGTTATATTATCGAGTGAGTAAAGATTTGTAATTATCCACATTTTACACTTTTCATAAGCTAATTCAATTTTCACTTTAGATATGTTTATGGAGGAATAATATCTTTAGAGAAATTAAATGGCCAAGAAATTTTTGATTACATGATCACTGCTAATCATTTTGGGCTTGTAGAATTGGTTAAGCACCTCGAATCCCATTTAATTAGTGAATATGCTAACTGGTTGTTTTTGAATTTTTCTCGAGCCTATCAAATTAGTCTTCAAAATGATAATTTCCAGGAATTACAAGCGTTTTGTTTGGATTGTCCTAATAAAATATTTAAGGCCGATGATTTCACTTCTCTTAAAGAAGATGCATTAATCACTCTTCTTAAATCCGAAAAGCTGCAGATGAAAGAAGTCGAAATCTGGAATTATGTGATAAAATGGGGGATGGCTCAGGGTACAAATTTGAAAAAATATTCTCAAAGATTGCATTCCTCATATTCGATTTTTTCAAATGTCATCTAATGATATTATGGATAAAGTTTACCCTTATTATTACATTTTTGAGGATGCGCTTTGGCGTGATATATTACGTGCGAAGATGAACCTAAATCCAGAAAATGAAATTAGCTCAACAGATGTGCATTTTCGTTCTTTAGAAACTTCCGGCAGTTCAAATATCAGGTACAAACCATTAGCACTTGCGTCATCTATTATTAACGACGAACACGTCTCAGAGATTGCTTCGTGGATTGATAAATGTGCTGAACCATATGGTATTAATAATATTCCATATGAGTTTAATTTGATCTTTCAAGGCAGCGTAAATGGATATGATGCATCCACCCTTCTAAAAAAATGCGAAAAGAAAGATAAAACAGTGATAGTTTTGAGAGTTAAAGAGACGGGTGAAGTGCTTGGTGGATATAATCCAATCGCATGGGAATGTTTGCAATCTGCAGCTAAACGTATAACGACAAACGATAGCTTTATATTTTCTCTGAAGAATGAAAATATGCAAAATTCTATAATTAGTCGTGTTATCAATGCTGATAGTGCGTTCTATTATAACGGTAACAATGATCGTATAATTTTTGGAGGTGGTGACCTTGCTTTGTTGAACAATTTTCAAACCAAAAGAAATTGTTGTATAAAATGTAATTACGAAAAAACCTATTAGATCAACTGTTTCTAGTTTTAGCGTAGATGAAATTGAAGTATTTAAGCTTTATGAAAAATTTAAGATTCATAATGCAAATTAGCAGTGAGCACATAAGTTTACACATTAATAATTTTTAAAATTCCATTCGGATTTAATTATTGTTCTATAGTTAAAACGACTTAGCTTTGAATTGAGTGAAATTTTTCCTTTTAATCTGGTGGTGTACAAACTGATGACTTCGTTAAGGAATTTAGCGTAAAGTTGCAGATCATAAATTCGTGACTAATGGATTCCCTCTTAATACTCGATAAATTTGAATATACTGTTTGTTGTTCAAATATTTCAATTAATGGTAAACAACTGGCTCCCTTCTCTTAACCATCAAATGTTTAACGAGGGTTTGAATTACACATATATAAAAAAGTATATTGCTCAAATTCAAACAAATCTGAATCACCCACAGCTTCACGGCTTTAAAGTTATATATGTCATATATAGAAAAAGCCAGATCGAGGTAACCTACCCAAGTCTATTGCATGAGTTCGTTTGGCTATACAATGGTTAACACACCATATAAATGGACTTTCTCAATGATAAACTAATAGTCTAGCATTAAAAAACAGAAATAGGAAAGTGAAAAGGAATTATTGCTTAAGGATTGATTTCATAATTTACTGGAATTATTATGCAATTCGTAATTATTAAAAAATACAAATAATTTAGTTTACATGATTAGTACAGCCTAGTTAATCTCGAACTACTAGTCAAAGAGCCGA